GAGTATAAACTATAACTTTATTTGAACCATAGCCTATATTTTTCTAGTAATTTAAAAAATATCATGTGTTCCTACCTGACCCAATAGACATATTAAAGAGCACAAATCAATAATATCCCTTAAGCCTCTTCATTATGGAACAACCATACATTCAACATGTATTTATAGTTTTTTCTATGAGATTTTGATTAGGGGGGCCTAATCACAATCTAATTTTGTTAAACTTATTACTAATATGCTAAATTAACTATATGATTAGCTGATTCTGATCGTAACTGATTGGTCTCCTCTTGGCTTGGACGATCTATTAGAGAATTTGGTCGGTATGTATTGGTCAACGACACATACAATATAATGTTCGAGGAATATTTTTGATTAAATATATCTTTACTTCTTAAACTTAAACATAAAATTAGAATCTGCCTATATCCTAAATTTTGATATGTGTTGCTTTTAAACTTAAAATACGAATAGATATAGCCAAAGTATGTTAAATTTTTTCATGTGTTAAATGACATTCACGAATAACCTTTGAACTTAAATGTATTAAACATAACCAACAATTCAACCCTAAATTTAAAATGTGTTTATTGGGAAAAAAATCATTAAATTAAGAAGAATATATTTATTTATTTTCAAAGTTTAAGATGATACTCTGTTAAAGTTTAAAAGAGTAATGAATTCTAATTTTAAGTAAAAATTTAAAAAATAAAAAACAAATTTAAGTGATCATTGTCCATAAATTAGAGGAAGAAAGAGTCAAACATGGCAGCAGTAATGAGGCGTATCGCATTGAGTAGTGGAGTTTGAGAAATAGAACATAACCCAAAGAGCACAAACACAAGTTGAAGCGTGAAAGCGAAATGAAAACCAAATTCCACAAATTGTTTGTAGCGTGAAAAAAGTGAGGTGGTAAAGTAAAATCCCTTGTCCAACCAAAAGAGTTTGTTGCAGATATTGCTGCACACGCACAAACCCACCAACATAAACACAAACAGCCTCGAGTAGAGAGAGATACTCAGATTCTGACATACCCTAAAACACGACAAAACTCTGCAATACTCCAACAATTCTTCATTCACTTTGTCACTTTAGTTGCATCACTCAAAACAAATTACCTTTTATTTCTATATATTTATGTAAAATTCATTTAATTTCTTCACTCCTCTCAGGTTAGGTGGAGCCTCTTTATTTTATTAATGAAAAATTCATCTTAAATATCATTATATATTTTAGGGTTAAATATGTTTTTAGTCCCTAAATTATTGGTCGTTTCTGGTTTTCGTTCCTCTTTCAAAGTAAGGTATAATTTGGTCCTCATTCTTTTTGAAAACGTTTGTTTCAGTCCTCGAAAACTAACACCGTTTAAAAATTTGGTTCTCATTTAGTAACAAAATGAAGACTGAAACCAAAGTTTCGAGGACTAAAACGAACGTTTAGAAAAGAATGAGAACCAAATTGTACCTTATTTTACCAGCGGTCAATAATTTAGGAACTAAAAACATATTTAACTCTATATTTTAAGATCTTAACTATATATTTATCATTTATCATCACTTAATCCGATAAATTTGAAAATTGCAATCTAAATTAAATTAACTATTTAACCGAATTTTATGTTGTGTATTGAATAAAGAAATATGTACTGTGTCTGACCGACCTTTCATCATCCCTGAATAAAACATTGGATTTTGTTATTATTAATTTTGTGAATAGATCTTTATAGTTCGATGTCCCCAGCACCCCAGGTGTCTGTCATGTACTTGTTAAAGTGTCTTACGCATGAACCGAATACGAGAAAACATGAGCAAAAGAACAAATCACTTTTTTAAATTTCAGACGAAAATATTGTTTTATCAAATTATATTTGCACATGTAATCTTAAAACAAAATTTGTGGAATATTATAAAACTTAAAGACTGTATGAGAAAAGGACAATGTAATATTTTTAAAATAAATAAAAGATTTGTATGCAATTTTATTTTAATATCATAAATAAATTTGTTATTTATACTTATAATTTGTTTTTTTTTCATTTTTAATATTCTCTTCTATACGTCCCAACAAAAATTTAATGATATAATTTTTTTAATTCTCTTTATATATTTTCTAAACGAAAACTATGGTAAATTCATTTAAAGTATATACCGATTTACAACAAGTAGAATTTCAATTTATTATCTTTCATAATTTTTCTAAAATTCTTAGTGTCAGTTGGAATTTATGGTAACCATGAAACAAAATTATGAGATTTAAATGTTCAATTTTATTTCACAACAGTAAAATAACATATTTTTATTTTATGACATTTAGGCTGATAGATTAACTTATTACATTATTTTATTACATTTGTAAATGTAAAATACATGATTATGCAAGTTTTACTATATAAACCAGTGAAAATGCATAAAATTAAATATAAATAAGTATAGAATTTTATTATAATATGTGTTACTTATTCTATAGGTAATTTTTTAATTAAAAAATAATTAAGTTTAAAAATACGGTTAAATTAAAAAAATCATTCAAAAAGTAAAAATAGTAAAATAATTATTTTAATTTTTTTAAAATTATATAAAGAATAAAATTGGAAAATAAATATGGATAAAAAAGAGGAATCCTTTTTATATATACTAACGAAAACCCAAGTCTATCACGTTTTTGTGTTTGCATTTTTTAAATATTTACTATAAATAAAGTGCAATATTCATTTATATACATATATGTTTTTAAAAATATATATTAATTTTCTTAAAAAGTATAATATACTTTTCAATGAATTTTCTAAATTCCGGAAAAAACACATTAGACACAATTTTTAAAATTTTAAAAAACAGAAAACAAAAGTAATGTAATTAATATATAATTATATATATAATGTATATAAAAGACTCAATAAATAATCATAATTTTCAATAAGTACGATAGTAAAATATTTACTCCTTAAATTATTTTATTTATTATTATTATGACAAATATCAATTTTACTAATAATAAAATTGTGTCATATTTTTATAGAATTATCTCTATTTTATTATGTTTTATATTTTCTCAGCATTAAATCGCTATTTTATAGTGACTTTACCAATGTAAATTATATTTCAAGATTTTATTAATAAAATTGTGTCATATTTTTATAGAATCATCTCTATTTTATTATGTTTTTATATTTTCTCAGCATTCAATCTCTATTTTATAGTTACCAATGTAAATTATATTTCAAGATTTTATTAATAAAATTTTATTATGGTTTTGTTAGTTTCTTTCAAGAAATTAAAAATAAAAAATTGGTTTCAGAGCTATACTTCCTTTGGAGCATGTATTTTAACAACCTTTTAATGTTTACTCCTCTATTATTAACATCAGAGTAAACTTTCAAAATATTGTAAAAACAAATTATTATTATTATACTTTTAAATTAAAAAACATATTTTTAATTAAATTTATTAATATTTCTATTCATTTTATTTTAAAAATATGTTTTTTCTAAATTATTTAAACTAGATAACTGAAAAACTATTTAAGTTTAATATTTATCATTTTTAAAATTTTATTTACTTTTAATTTTAAATATAAATTAGTTTGATATTGAGTTTTATTTTTTAGTTTTAATTGTGTATAGCTTTTACTCTATCTTACAGTGAAACTCTGGTTAGTTTAATATAATGTTAAATTTTTTCAATTCGAACATATTAAAAGTTTAAAAAAATATAATGATTCTAAAAAATAATACAATAATAAAAATAAGTATGCAATGTTTTTAATTAAAAATATAAGATGTAAAATAAATTAAACATAAAACTATTAAAATAATAATAATAATAATAATAATAAGCAATTAAATAATTTAATTAAAATAAATTGTAACTTATAAGTTATAAATTAAAATAAATTAAAAAAACTAAAAGAAAGTATTTAAAATATTTGCTAAATATTTTTATAAAAGTTAAATTAATCAAATAATTTGATATCTACCTAATTAAACTCAGGAACTCATCAAACAAATTTCAGATATTTAAGTGTTAAATTTTATTTCATAAAATTGAAGAAAAGGGATATTAATTATAATGTAATTTCTAAAACACTATCTTATTTCCTTTTGAAATATGGATGAAAAAATTTATCTTTGAAGAGACTAGTATTTTTTAAAAAAATTCTAGAACACAAACACTATTATAATTTAACGCGTGTCATGGTACATAAAAAAAATGAAAGCAACCAATGTTAAAGTATTACTCATTAAACAATTTAAAAGTGTATTTTTTTCCCACAGAAAGAAAAAGCTAATTTACAACAAGAATTTACAATTTTGACAAAAAACTTTGTTTTAAAATATTTTAAATGGGCAGAATTAGTGTCCTTTAATTAACACACCAAAATGAAAGAGAGTGTGGCTTAATTGATGGAACAGAGGGAATGTATGGTTGTAAATTCTCACATTTATTTAATTCCTACCATAAAAGAATACACCAAATCACTCTTTTTTATCATAACACGCAACATTTATGTGATGGAATCTATATAATGTTTTATTTAGAAAAACTAAACCAAATAGATACTTTAACATAACATACAGAATCTAAAAAAAGTCAAATAAAACATACTAATTTATATCTATAGTATAACATTGTACACATTCATCTATCGTAATATGATATTTTAATATTTTTTTTTGACATGTTATTATTTTATTTATACGTATATTTAAAACAGATCAATTACAAATTACTTGATGTATTATTATAAAAAAAAGGTTGCTAAAGAGATTATCTGTACGTAGTTAACATAGTGGGAAAAAAAGTTTTGGTGTTTTACCTGTAATTTGCAAGTAACATGGTTAATCCTAATGCGAGACTTTGGTGAGACCAAAATTGGTGGTAAAAAAGGTGTATCTCTCTGGCATTCCCCACACATTGAAAATGTTATTATTTGAAGGGTTTTAGTTTGGGTTTAGGTTTAGGTTTAGGTTTAGGGTTTGAAAGAGTGGCTGAAAAAGGCAATAATTAGGAGCTGGACCAGCGTGCAGGGTGTGGGAGAGATAGAGAACCAACATGACCTCTTGTCGGTTGTTCTGCAAGACAAAACTTGCAGTGTAGTCATCACTCTCCGTGAGTGCAAAACAACCCCACTGTTCCTTTTTTTTAGCTCATTTTTCTGCTGCTTGATGGATGCTAGGAAACAACACCTTCTTCTATGCCCTCTTATTCCCCATCTCATCAATTAACATTCACTTCACAATTCTCTCTCTCTTGTTCTATGTCAAAACCTGTTCTAGTCTTTAATTTCCAGGTTCTCTCTCTCTCTTTTGCTGGTGCAATTAAGCTTCCTGCATTTCTTATTTTCCTGAGGGCTCCCTAGGGACCCAGTTGATAGGCTCATCTAGCTTCCTTCAATTTCCAACAGTATATCAGTTTATTTTGTCCTCTCTCTCTCTCTCTCTCTTTCTTTCTGTCTTTTAAGAATTTTCTCTTTCACAAAAATTGTACTCTTACTACTTTGTTTACACTTTTTCCGTGCTGGTGCTGCTACTATATACGGTTAATAGTGTTATTAATACTGACCACTGAAATTTAATGGGTAGGTTTACCACACACAACGTCAATATCAAGATGAGCACAGGAAAGAACATTGTTATTGGTGTGCAAGTCACCTTTCTTTGATTAAGTCTGTTCTTAATTAGAGGGGATGAATTAGGGTTGAACACACTACAGGATGATCCACAATCACAGTTAAGGAAAATTCACTTGCCAGATTGTGATCATTTCTACAGGAAAAAGCTTAGACTAGATTATTATTAAAATAAGAAAAAAAAAAATAGAGGGGAATGAGATTAAGTTTAGATCTTGGCCTTCTTTATTGATGGACATGAGAGACCAAGATAAGGTAATAGAGATGCCTAGCACTTTGGGTTATAACCTCTCCAATAGAAATTCGTCTTCCTCCAAGTTATCATCACCAATAGGGGAAAGAAGTGACCAACCTCCTCAATCTCACACGTTGATTTTCAGTGATCCACCCCAAACAACTTCACATCATCACCATCCCCTCAACCCCCCTAATTCTCTTCCACCAAACCCTCTTCAACTACCACATCCTCACAGACCCAGAAGAGATCCAGATCCAACTCCTATTTCTCCTCCTGTCATAACCACCCCAAGAACACAACCACACTCAACACCAACTTTCACGACAACATTCAGATACCGAGAATGTCTGAAGAATCATGCTGCCACCATGGGGGGTCATGTCACAGATAGGTGTGGGGAGTTTATGCCAAAAGGAGAAGAAGGCACCCCAGAATCCTTCAAGTGTACAGCTTGTGAGTGCCACCGCAATTTCCACAGAAAAGAACCTGAAGGCGAATCATCACAACATGTTCTCAACTACCACCTCACTTACCCCAACAAAAACAACAGAAACATTGTCATTCATTCTCCGCAATCTTACCTTCAGTTACCTACACCCCACCTTCACGGGGTGGTGGCTACCCCTTCAGGTGGGCCGGTTCAGCCCGCGATGTTGGGCTTTGGGGGGACCCCAGCTGAGTCCTCAAGCGAAGATCTCAACATGTTTCAGACCGATGATGCAGGGCAATTGTTATCAGTGCCACCACTGTCATCATCCAAGAAGAGGTTCAGGACAAAGTTCTCACAGCAACAAAAGGATAAGATGATGGAGTTTGCTGAGAAAGTGGGGTGGAAGATCCAGAAACAAGATGAACAGGAACTGCATCAGTTTTGCTCTCAGGTCGGTGTAAAAAGACAGGTTTTCAAGGTTTGGATGCACAACAGCAAGCAAGCCATGAAGAAGAAGCAAATGTAAGCCTAGATTAATCAATTCCATCTCTTTCAAATTAATTGTTGATTTTTTTTTAAATTTGTGTTTAATAAAAACACTCAGACTTTAAAATCTTAGATGTGAATACTATCACGTATAAGAAAATAGGTCGCTGAGCTAGCTAGAGACGTTAGTTGAAAGCTGCCATGCTATTGTGTATTCTCATCTGTATGTTATTAATCAAATTAACCATTCAATTTCCATCAGCAATCATCTAGGCTGTGTCCTTGATCTATATAAACGTGCGAATAAAAAGGATGAAAAAATAGGTAAGAAAAACGATGCATGAAACTGGGATATATGGATAGATTAGGTTGTAAGCATTTATAAGTTAAACTGGGTGAAGAGAATGAGCATTTCATGCATTATCCTTAGAGGTACTTAGTTGTTTGATAATCATGGAAGGCAAGCCTGGGTTCGTGAACCCATTAACTTTTCTTGAAAATCAAAGATGAGGGCTTTGGAGAAAATAGGATCCCACCACCACATCCACCCAACCACACAATTTTGTCAAATTTGTCCTGTAATAGGACACCGACAGCTGAATGAGGAGACAATACCCGTTCTTTTCTCAAAATGCCTTTCTGAGGTATTCAATGTGTGGGTGTGTGGTCTACACGAATAAAATCATGGCATAACCAAAGTAAAAAAAAAAAAAAAGAATAAAAAAGAAACAGGGAGAGAAGAAGGACAGAGATTTCATGCCTTTTAGATATGTATATACTATGTATGTATAAAGTGCAATACGATTTTTCTCCCTGACAAGGTATTGTTGCAGCAAGCAGGAACATAAAGCCAACTCTAACACAAACAGCCAAGAGTAGAGAGAGAAACTAATAAGAGATTCTCACGTACAGTAGTAGTAAGATTTTTCTTTTTTCTGTAAAGAACCCATTTATCCAAAAATTTACAAAAAGGCAAACACTTTTAGAATTAATAACTATTCTCAACCTGTTTTTTCTTTAACAAATAAGAATTCGGTTGGTCAACGTGGTTGTAATTTTTTTTAATACAAGATTTAAATCTAAACATTAAATCCTAGTTATATATTATTCTATAAATATAAGTAAATGTTATATATATAAATAGTACTTACAAATAACATTATAAAAAGCTATTTTATTAATACAAAATTATAACAATGGTAAATATACAAATATGACATTATTAAAAGGTAGAAATAAATTATATACGCATATATTTATAGTTATATTTCACTTAAATAGTTTGTAAAAATATAATAGTTTATACGAAAATTCAATTTTATATTATAATTATTTATGAATTTAAGTATTTAATAATTTATTACTTTTATTATAGTTAACTTAGTACTACATTTAAATATAAAAACTTATTATTGTGGGTGTCTGGGATTGATGTTACACTTAAAGTCATTTTTATCAATTTTTAGCTTTCTTCTTTTCTCTACAACACTATAATAAATTCAATTTACTCGTTAAAATACTCTAAGTCAATTTGAGTTTAATAAGTTAAGTGATCAATGTTATAATAAATGCATCCTAAAAATGTTATAATAAATAATGTTATAATAAATGTTATTCTAAATGCATCCCAATAAATTCAATTTACTCGTTAAAGATACTCTAAGAGCTTAATAAGTTAAGCAGTTAATATTATAATAAATGCATCTTAAAAAGTTTTAAGAGTCATACATTTGACCTTTATTTATAGTTTTTATGGGCTTTTGATTAAGGTTGACTTAATCATGGTCCAATTCCATTAAACCTCGTTACTAACCTATTTAGATTAAATGGATCATTAGTTGATTCTAATTATCATTGACAGTCTCCTCCAAGCTGAGATGATTCGTTGGGATAACTCAATTAATGTGTATCGATTAATACATGTACAATACATAGCCCCCTTAAACCTTGAGCTTGAACGAAGGCCATAAGCGAAAAAGGTTTTTTGTCGCTTGAGTTATCCTAAAAAATGTGATCATTAGTGATGAGAGATTATGTTGCTCTACTAATCATGTTGATGCTTCATGAATTGTTACATCCGCTCGACTCGTCTTTAAAAACATGATTGTTGGCGATGAAGGGTTGCGCTACCTCATTAAGTGTGTTGTCAATTTTAACGTCGAATGCGAAGCGTCACATGCCCCTTGCCATTAGATGATGCCAGATCTAATGGTTGTGAGTGGATGTCCTTGAGAACTTCAATAAATAAGGACCAGGTGGTCTTGTCATTTTTACCGTTTTTGCTTTGACATCCACTTATGCCCCATTCTACAGCAAATGTGGGACAATAAAAAGATATAAAGCTAGATTGGTGGCAAAAGGCTATACCCAAACTTATGGGATTGACTATGAGGAGACATTTGTCCTAGTGAAAAAGATGAACAAAGTTCGAGTAGTTCTCGCTTTGGCTCCTAATTTTGGTTGAGACTTACACCAATTGGATGTGAAAAATACCTTTCTTCATAGAAATCTAGAAGAGGAAGTGTACATGGAGATTCCCCCAGGTTTTGAATTGAAAAATGAAAGGAACAAAGTAGGCTTCCTAAAGAAAACATTGTATGGTCTTAAGCAATCTCCTAGAGCATGGTTTGGAAGATTTACAAAAGTTATGGTTTCCTTAGGATACAAACAAAACCAAAGAAATCATACTCTATTTATAAAACATTATTCTACAACTAAACTCACTTTATTACTTCTCTATGTCGATGATATGATTATTGCAGGAGATGACACATGCAAACAATTGACAAAATTCTTCAGTACTTGAAGTCAAGTCTAGGAAATGGACTATTATTCAAAAGGGAAGATACATTGACTATGAAAATATATACTGATGTTGATTATGCAGGCGATAGAAAGTCTACTTCTGGGTATTGTGTGTTTCTTGAAAATAGTCGGGTAACGTGGAAGAACAAAAAGCAAGATAAAGTATCTCATTCTATTGTAGAAGTTGAATGTCAAGAAGAATGTGTGAAGAACTCTGGATGAAAATAATTTTAGATGACTTTCAAGTCAAGATGGACAATCATGTGCAACTAGACTGTGACAATAAGTCTACCATGAACATTGCTTATAATCCATTACATGACAGGACTAAACATATTGAGATTGACAAAATTTTAAGATCTTGTAAGTACATTGAGAATGATTGATTTTCATTCACTAAATTAAAGGAATGGTTGTAATTAAAGGAAAATATTTCTAATTAGAAAAAATATTTATATAATCTTCTAATTTATTTTTCAGTATATTATTTTTTTATTTCTCGTTTTTGGAAGATTAGATTGTTATATATATATATATATAGACACACAGACGTATATGTGTCTAAGGAGAATGTAACAGATAGATAAATAAAAATTCATTTTCTTTTCAAGTTGATCGCTCCCAAAGAATGAATGTCTCTAATAAATAATAACGATAAAAAATAATTAATTTTAATTATATTAAATTAATTAATTATTTTATTATAATAGATAAAAATGTAAATATAAATAAAAATATATGATATAATCGGTTATGTCTTCGTGTATGTGTTATATGTAAAGACATAATTTATTGACAAGTATGCGTATCAAACATAATAATATCAATTATAGTTACAATTCACACATTTCTTTTTTCTATATCATGTCCAAATTACATTTATGGAATTATGTATGACACTGATTGTGATATTAACCCTCATATGAAAAACTTAATTTTACGTCGGTTTAGGTTTGTTATAATTGAAAATATTGGGTTTAATTAGATTTCAGTTACAATATAATTTGTTTGTTTCAAATTTGAATGTTAGCGTATTAATTTATTTTTCACTCAGTTATTTTTCCAATAATGTTATGCTTTATTTGGATTCATATTACACTTTCATTATGGAATACAGTGTGCAAAATGATAAAAGCACAACCGAAAAAGATTTTCTTGTGTGTGGAGATTTAGTATACAATGGATTGTGTTATGATTTGCACAACAATCTTTTTCTGGTGCGTTGTGAAATTCCTTAAGACAGAAAACTTATTTTCATTGTGTATTTGAACTCGTAATACACTAGGGTTGTTTCAATAGATAGTATAAACATGTTTTCTCCGTGTTGTTTTTTTCTAAAGTCAAAACTCGGGATGTCAATAGCAAAATTGTAGGTGCCAATAGCAGGACCCACTTTGTATTCTACAGACACATGTTACGACCTAAGGTAGTGGGCTGCATAGTCCACAAACAAATATTGTTCTAACTTATTTTGATTGATTAAAAGGTTCATAAATTATATTCAGTATATAGAAATTATTTATTTTTTTAATTTACAAAAATAATAGGGCTATTTACATTAGATAAAATAATTCAGATGTAATAAAACATCTTCTACTTTAATAAGAAAAATTCACGTTATATTGAATTGATATAAGTGAAAATGTTTAAAGAAATAAATTACTCTCGAATTAGCTATAATAACAATGTTATTATTATTATTTTATAATATAAGAAAATATATATACTATACAATAATACAATATAATGAATTAAATTATCTTTAGGAACAAGCTCAGTTCGAACCAAACTACCTTTTAAAATAAAATTTTTAAACATAGAATAATATACTTATACTTGAAACACTTTTTGTTCACTTTGAACATTCAACAATAAAACTTGCCCTTTTACATTACTTTCATTTTCATTTTTCAACACCACGATGCCAATAATTCATAGTTCCATATTTAAATGGCTTATTATATTAATATTAAGTTTGCAACAACTGCATTTGCCTTTATGTAATCGATCGACTAGAAAACTAATATGCTCCCCTGTATCGATCTTAGATTCAACACCAAACTGAACTAACTAAAAATAGTACCCTACTCTTTTACAAAAATTAAAGAACCTATTCTAACAAGAATAATAATATTTTAATAATATTTTTTTATAACATTTTAATATCATCTTTATGTTATTTTATGATTAATTTAAGTTAGTGTTTATAATTATTATTATTAATTATAAAATAATTTTAGACCAATCACGTAAATAATGTTAAAATATTATAAAAAAATATTGTCTATCCTTTCAAGAGAATGTTCCCTTTTTCTCTCACTTTGATGCAATAGATTTTGACGTGAGTTTCACCTGCTCTTTTTTTTCTGCACTTTTTTAAAAAGATGATTTAACCTCTTTTTTATCATCTCTCAATCATTTATTCCAAAGGATCCTGATATTTTAACAACAAATTTTAATAATTTTTTGACAATGGGCCACATGTCATTGCTTTATTGGTCTGTTTGAATTTGTTTTCAGTAAAATATTTAAAACCAACCCATCATAAGCTACCATGGTCAAAAAAATTGTTAAAAAAGAGTTGTTAAAAAAGACATTTCCTATTCCAAATATCCCAGAACAACGCAACTCTTTATTATGAGAAAATGCACTCTTTTACGTTTTGTCACAAAATTGTTACCTTATTACTATTATAAATGTGTCATGATTTTAAATATTTGTATAGGAAATATTTAAAACAATTTTTTTTTCATCTGTAATTCTTGCATATAAATTTTCTAAACCAGAATTCAAGGTAAAAATAAGATGATAGTTTGTTATATTTAAAAGTAAAAATCATGAGCTCAATGCAAAATCCATAAAAGCAAACCGTAAACTTCACTCAAAAACTAAAATAGTCACATAATGAAGCCATAAAGCTAAATCTCTCAACAATACCGATTTGACGTTTGTTCTCACGCTTGAGCAACATAAATCAGCATAAGAGGATTGAGAAACTATTCAACAGGTGATAAGTGCTACAACAATAAAATTACATACTAACTCAGAAAATATTTTTAATAAATTGATATCTTCACCACTTTTCACTATGACTTATAATATAAGAATATGACTTATAATATAATAATATAAAAAATGAATTTTAAATCTAATTAATTTTGTTTCACTGACTTGGAAAATCTAATTTTTAACATAATATTAAAAATGTAACCTCGTATATATATAATCCAACCTTTTGTGAGATCGAGTTAGACAAAGTTTACTATAACCTATATTTTCCTTTTATTTTCTTAAAAAGTATTTCTTTCATCAATTATTTTTTTCATATTTGAATTTGTAAATATGAAGTAATACTTAAAAAATTTATTTAATAATTATCAATTTTATTTTTTAGTATTTTTATCATGTTTATTTATTTTATATTTATAATAACGATTAATGCTTATATGTGCTAAATACTGATAGTCCTCTTTTAGGAAAGGAACTATTAGTAAAGGAATTATCTCAAAGGATTGGTTAATAATGGTTATAAAATTTTAATAACTAGTATTAATTGTCTTCATTAATTAATTTAATAATAGCAACTTAGTAGGGTGAAGTGTGGAAGTATGATGAGATGATGAAAGATAAAGATGAGATAAGAAATATAAGAGCATAAAAAAGTATATTTATTATTAGAGTTGTGGCAGCCCAACATGGGATCTAAGGTAAGGGCACAGTTGCTGAAACAAAAGGAACCAACCACCCTTTCCTATGCCAAGAAAAAGAAAAAAAAAATAGAAAAACTACTCGTTACACTGATTCTGATGTAACGGTAGAACTTCTCATTAACAACATAATTGAAGTTCTTCATAATCTATTACTAAGTGGCCTTCGCATCCTCTTCCTTAGAATTGTAACTTCTCCTTTTCAACCACTTTTGACTTGTCGTCGTCAGATTTCATCCCAAAACCACTGTCACAAAATATTATCAGTAACCAAATAAACAAACATCAATCTCCAAACTATAAATCACCAGAGAGAACATTACCCGGAAATTTTATCGTAAGCCCATTGAGCAAAAGACTCAGACTTTTGTGCTGCACCTTCCACAGAGGGAGCAGCGGCATCAACGGCGGGTGCGGTGGCTTCCTTGGCAGATTCCGCAGCTGACGCGGCGGAGTCCTTGGCAGCTTTGACCGTTGGGGCGGCGGCGTCCTTGGCATCCTCTGCAGTGGCTTTGGCGCTTTTGAGCACATCGCCCCAGGTGGTTCCAATGAAGAAGGCAAGGCACACGACCACGACAACGAACTTCATGTTTAGGGTGTTCATGATTTTATTCTTGAAATTTATTGAAAAGCTTGTGTTTTATTCCTTGTATTTTGTTTGCTTTTGTTGCTCTGATAATTGATTTGCTGAAGGGTGTATTTATATGTGTGTAGTGAGAAATAGGTTGAGATGTTTCCGACTAATGGTGCTTGTTCATCGCTTTAACGGTTGGTTTCCTGGCGCAGCTGGGTCATCGGCCACGCAAATAGCCCAAAGAAAACGCACCACGTTCAGGATGAACACTTTGTTCTTATGGAGGAGAATGTTTAACGGAAGGTGCCTTTTACATTCACGTACAAATATCTTTACTCCTTCAAACATAATTTTACCGTTCGAAACTTCCGTTATTTATTCCAAATTTAATTTATAATACTCGTAAATTAGTTCACTTCAACATGAGCTATAAAAGTAATCTCAGAATTTTAAATGAAATATTAAGTTTATTATGTAATAAGAAATATAAGAAAGTTATTGTCATAATAATAGTATGTTTATATTTACTAACATAGTTTTTTTAATTTAAAGAGTTAAAAGGCTATGTATTTTAATTTTAACATTTTATACTTTTTATATTATTATTATATGGATATAACGTACTGATTAGATAATAAAATAAAACCAAATAATTAGATAATGACTAATTAAAAATGATTCAATTTAATTCAGGTTACATTACACTGTTGGTTTTTGAACTATTTGACAATTTTTAACTAATTCTTTAAACTATTTTTTTCTTTAATTGATGCTTAAACATGTATTTATTTGTAATTATATCATTTTGTCCAACTACTGTTGTATAAAATGAACTGCCTAATTCACCTACTAAGTTAGCAGCAAGATTATTGTAGGTAGGTTTGGAAATGTTCGTGAAAGAGTTGTATGAACGAGTGAAAATGTAGATGTAAAAATAAGAGTCTTATTGATTGATATTTTTTAAAATGTTTATTAAGTCTCTAAATATATTAATTATAATTATCAATATAATAATAATAATAATAATAATGATAAATTATCATTATTATTATTTTTGTTGATGTTATTACTATATTAACAAAAGAAGTTGTAAATGGTTAATTACTCTTTGAAAGAGAACTTTCAAATATATTATTTCTAACAATAATGAATTCAAAACCTTTAAAGGTGAGAGCACGGTCCTAAAGATAGAAGTATTCATCAATATTGATTAAACTAATAACTCAAACAAAATTAATTCAATTAGTTTAATTAGATTTTTATTAGATAAATTGAATCAGAGATTGATTGGCTAAATTTACGATTTACTAATCTAATTGAGCCAATATATATGTGTGTCTGATTTTGCAATAAATAATTATTAAATTTTTATGGTATAAAACTATATATTTTTAATTATTATTTAATTGATGCAATTACAATAAAAGAATACGGGATTGATTCATTTGATTGATTTAGATTATGTAAAAACAAATAACTCGACCATTTAATTTATAATCGTAAGTAATAATCAAGATATGTCACGTCCTCTGTGTAACATCTGTTTGTCATTCTTTGTACTCAACGATAATATATTCACTTATTTTTTTAGTTTCCATTTTGAACTTGGGATTCTTCTTCGTTTTTTTTTTGTCTGTTTTGGGATGACTCTTTATAAAAACAAATTGAGGAATATTTGTTTTAAAACTAAAATTACTGTTATGGCTAAACATTTTTCCAATATTATATAATGAAAACAAAATTTTGCACTAATATTTATCAAGCACTCCTATAGTATGCCAATACTGAAGAAAAATAGAAACAAAACTATCTTATAATATTAAATAATATTAGAAACAAATATTGAAAAATGGAACAAAAATATGAAAATAGGAAAACAATTCTTTATCGTCGTATTGCATTATATATACCACCACTATTATTAGAAAACAAACATAATAGAAATTACGATAGCAAATATGTAATTATTTATAAATTTGATACGCTAAATTGCTTACGAAGGGTTTGAAACAATTACAAGAAACTACCTCTCGTAACATACACCAATTCAACTAAAAATATCTACGAACCGACCCCAAATACGAAGGCAAAAGAAAATGGCTTTTTGCGTTTACATTTATCATTGTCGTCTTTATGTAATGGGCAATAAATTTTAAGTTTATAAAATTTTTTAATTTGAAAGTTTCCAAATGAATATGCAAAAGCTACTGGTGAGACACTCGTATTTAAGAAATATTTTTCTTAAGAAAGAGACATTAATGTAAAAGGATTCTATAGGGGAAGATTATAGTTGTTCAAGTGATTTGGAATTCCACCTTTTGTAGAAATAAGAAAGTGAGTAAGATATAAAAGTGAAAGACGAATAAACTCATTTCCTTGAAATTTGAAGTTGAAAGTGATGTGAAATTTCTTTTATGTGTTAACATGTTACCCATTGGTGGAGGTATCCTCCATATTTCTCTTTCCTTATTGATAAATTAATAAGTCTAATAAGTAACTTATTTGAACAAAATTCAAATTTTATTTGGTTAATAACGTGAAAATTGAAATTACTTTATCAATTAAGAAATCTAAGCAGATACTTAAGCATGTCAAAGTCCAAGTTAGCTTAGTCAAATGAGATATATTACAAGTAGCGCATTTGTTATTGTAATTTGTACCTTGCTCATCTTTTTTTTCTTGAGGATAGATGTGATTCTTTAAATGAGGGTTTTTATGGTCTTTTACCTCAGTCTTGAGGGTTTTATAGAATGGGACATTTTGTCAACAAATAGTATGAGGGCCACCATGCTTTATTAGCCCATGTATGCATGCATCTCCAATTTTTCATTCGGGCATAACCATTGCATTTTATGTTTTTCTTTATTCTAAAAATTTTATTGGAAGTGAGATTGTTCTGATTTAAGAACATTCATTTATTTATTATTGTTATTAGTAATTTGGGGGGTAACAAATTTATTCTATTTCTACAAATTCAAATATACTTATGAGCGTAAATAGTGTTTGTTCACTTCATTTTATTGTAAATAATTACATATTATCTATGGATACAATGAGGGTGTAAGTTTTATATCCATCCAACACAAAATTAAAATCCAATTTTTCTCAATTGATTTTTTTTTTGTGTAGTACTAAAGTTTAATTATCTTCATGATATTTATTATGTCATTTATTTTTTTTAAGTTCTATCATATATATTTAATCTTATGTTGGGTGGATAAGCTCAGCTCAATATGAGTAGTATATGAGAAATCTTAAATCAATTAAAGTATAATACACAAGTTAATGTAACATGTAATACAATTTTATTATATCTTTAATAGATATTTGTTATGTCGATTTTGATTCTTAGGAATAAGAATTCATTATTTAAGTCAAGTTGTACCATTAAAGGGTTCTTAGAAGTTAATTTAGTGGAAGAATTGTTCTGTTGTTGCAAGAACCTATTCCCAAGATAATATTGATTACATAATTTATTAAAAAAGAAAAATTACCGAATGAAACATAATTATCAACCCGAAACAAACCATAAAGCAATTAGGAAAAACTAAACCAAGAAATTAGCAATCTGAAGTTAGTAGATGATGGGGCATTCTTTAATGTAATGCCATTGTAGGAAATCCAAAGATGATCTATTGAAGTCTATTATGAGAATGAAGATTTTCAATTTTTTATTAGCTCATATCGAGAAGATTTATACGTATAATCTAGTGTAATTCTTTTTCTCTACACTTATATTTTTTCCATTCTTAAGCATTTTCTGAAATACATCTAGAATTTTTATTTTATTTTTGCATACTCAAGAATACTAGAGTGTGGTGCATTACTCCACGATCACGAATCCAATTCCCTGATTTCAGTCGTACTAACTCATGTTGGCATTTAAATAAAGTTGCACTTATTCATATATTAAGAGTTAGACCGACATCGTTAACATGCGATAAATAAATTTCCTTAAATACAATATTATTAATTTGACAATACAGCATGGATAAACGAAGCTCAGTATACAAAGAAGGAGGAAAACAGGAAAGAAGACTGCTGCAATCACATGGTAAGGAGCAATTAGATTATTTCACAGCTTGCTGCTGGAAATACACTATTCACTATTTATTCAAGAGAATGCTAATGGCTGTTCATGCTTTGTGGTCTCTGGATCTTCAAGAACCTGCAAATGGTGGAAAAGAGAGATATTATTAGTCAACAGAAAAAGGGTTACATACAAAGCACCTACAGAATGTAGCCAAAATTTATAAATAATGTAGAAAAACACAAGGGTCCAAGCTTGGAAAACAAAGGTGAAAGTTTATTAGCGTTGATTGTGCACACACAAGAAGCCATGCTAGATACTCTTTTGAGATTTCAGACAGAAAACCGGAGCTTTCTATGTCAAATCACATGGCTGTTGTTGTTCTTCATTATGGCTTGTCTTTTTATGTTGCCCTTTGGTTCAAAGCACATGGCAGTTGTTTGAACTAGCATACGTAGGGCCGTTCAAATTTATGTACCAAGCAATGGAAGCGATAAGTTAGAAGATTCCACAGAGCTTAGATAATCAAAGATTTATTATTAAGTGCAGGCGAGCAGGCATTATTGAAGTAGCTGCCGGGTGTTGAAGATAATTTGGCCATTAGCCGATGCAAAACGAAATGGACCACATAAAACTAGCATTTTCACTTTCAGGGCTTTCCATATAAAAAATTCCTATCTCTTTGAATGGAGCCCGCAACATGCAGTACTGGTACACGACAAGAATAGTGCAAATACAAGTAGGACTGTATTATGATAAACTTGAATCAGAGATAGTCACATCACATGACATGTTGTTGAAGTATGCTGTATTACTTTCTATACAACGTTAAAGGTAAACTGCATTAGGGTGGTTATGAATAAGTTTTGTGCAGATAAAAATATAGTAAAGGTCTGAGTCAGTGAGTGACTTACCAATGGGTTAGTTGGTGGTGGTGTTGGTTTTGTAACGAGGAAACGGAACTTGGCCATGTTCAATGCGTTTGACATCTTCTTTGAGGATCTCGTAGTGCTTTTTGACGTCTTCGACTGATCTTCCAACCACATTGGCAACATTCTGCCATCTGTCAGGGGTTTCCCTGTCGTA